AAAAAAAAAATGAAAATGAGAAAAAACAACAAGGAAAAAGATTTTTTACGATTACAGTAAAATGAAACCTCTTTTTCTGAAGTGCATTTATAAACAGAAGAACTACCATAAAAATGAAAAAATTTTTTCAAATAAGAAAAGGACTTTGAAAAATTTTTAGTATTTTTGAGCAAAAACTTACTTGAAACTTATTTTTTGTTTCAACATTGGCCCCATTTTCTAACAAAATCTTCAAAATCTCTGAGTAGCCTTTCCACGAAGCCAAATAGAGCGGTGTCCTCTGAAGTGAACAGAAATTTTCTTTTATAATTTTCAGATTTTCTCTTGTCTCCTTAAAAAACGTTTCTTCCTTACATTCCTTTCTACAAAATTTCCTTTTATAATTTTCAGTTTTCAGATTTTCCGTTTCTTGCGCTGCTTTTCAATTTTTTCTGCAGTATTTATCAACCTAAGTTATAACAGTCTTTTTCACTTTCCTCTTAAAAACCCTGCGTTCTTTTTTCTGCTTTATTGTTCATTAACTTTATTTTCATCTGATTTGAAGTCTTTCTGTTGTCTTTTATCTTGCAACTATTTTAATGATTTCAGCGTGATTCTGCTTCATCAACGTTATAAAAGACAGTAAACCGTTTCATAGTTCAAAGTGAGCGTTAAACACTTTTAAATATCAGAAAGGTATACGACTGTTAGAATTGTAAAGCAAAAATTAGTTTTGAAAAATGCTCTGAAAATTCTTTGGAAGCTTGATCAAAAGCTCACATTATCTCTGTCGTTGGCATCAACGTCAGCGCCGTTATGAAGCAGAAGATTGACCATTTCGACATGTCCCAGTTCGGCAGCTCTGTGCAACGGTGTTCTCTGAATCAAAAAAATACTTTTACAATAATAGTTACGGCTTGAGAGGTTTAACACTGGCATAAATCAGTCAAAGAAACAGAATTGAGAAAGCCTTGCAAAGCATCTTACCCTTTATTTATTGCTTCAGTTACTTGTCAAAACTTCAAAAATTTATTCATTTTAGTTGAGCCTCTTTCGTTCTGTTGTCTGATTACGCATCGTTTTTGGTTGTTACTGTTTAGAAGAAAAATCGTCTTAATTACTTTCGACTTTTTGCAATTTTGGTTTTTTCACGCACTTTTTCATGAAATCACCTTTACTGCATTTCTTATAAGATGTCCTAATTTTTTTTGTTCTATTTTTTTTTTATTTGTTGACTTCTCATCGTTTTTTTTACTAGCTATATCCTATTTCGTTGTTTTAGTGACTACTTAGCTTTGAAAGTTATAACCGTAGTACTTCTATTTGTTGAGTGGCCACCCATTCAGAAAGTAGAGTTGTAACGTACAAGTATGTCTGTTTTGATGTAAAGCAGAACTACTGGTAAACACGAATTAATTCTCAGGGTATATCAATAAACCCTCACACTGTGTTTTCGCTCCTTCGCATTAGCATCAGCTCCATTTTGCAGCAAAATCTGTGAAACTTCTGCGTAATTATTCGCTGACGATAAGTGGAGCGCGGTGTCCTAAAATTAAAAATTTAATTTTTTTTGAGAACAGAAGCACAACTGCGAGCTATTCAAGTACACGAAAACC